GGCTTTGCCATGAAATTCCTACACTGTGCATGTGAGGGCTGGACCTTCAAGTCACTGGTTCTCGCTGGTTCTTCATGGCAGCTGAATCTCATGAAACTGTCACAGCAAAAATGAATGTGCACTTGGACTTCAGGAACTGATATTCAGGTATGTGCAATGAAATCACATAACTACAAGAGGAAAAAAAGAAAGCTTTTTTTTTTTAAATTTTTCACTCTAATTAATCCACACAATGTAGAACATTAAAATCTCTTTTTATGTAGTTTTGAAGGCCTTTCCTAAAGCCTTTCTTACAAAGCCTGCAAGAGGGAGATTTTAAGAATCTAAGAAAAGTTCAAAAATGATTTCTTGTCTTAAGAGTGCTTTTAAGGGATTACTAGAACATGCAACTGGAAGTGTACTTGCGTGGCATCTTAAATTCTAATGCTGACTGCCTCTAGCTTGATCTGTAATCTTGACCTGAGACCAGTCTGGTGGTCCCATCTCATAATGAAAGGGGTCATGACAAAGCTGTGTGGCATCAGTGGCTGCCCTACTTCCTCCAGGTCTCCTTTGGTGTTGGCGATGACACATGCTTGTCTATTTTTTTCCTTAAATACACCTTCTGGTTTCCTGTTTCTTAAAGGCTCACAAATCTGCAGTAAACAGGAAATCATCAGTGTGGGGTATGGGAACCCTGGGGAGCAAGTCAGAGGTCTAAATCTGACTTTGCTCCATCCCCCCTAACTAGCTGGGATCTCTGGCCAGACCTTTCACCTCTTGAGTGTTTTCACATCTGCAAAAGGAAGGAGGCCAAATAACTAACCTGATTTCATCATCCTATGCTTGTGGTATAAAGGTAGGCTAGAATGTTACAGTGCTCTTGAGAATTTAGCAGCAAATCAAGATCCCACAGTCATCTAGCTTTTAAGGTTTCAAATTCTCTTTAATAAAATTAACTGTGGTATTTCCATGAGGATACCAGGTTTTCTGAAAACACCATGACTTAATGTAGTTTTAATACATATATTTTTTTACAAACTCTTTAGGAGGTCAGTAAAATTTTCTTAAAATGCTGTTTGAAACTTGAATCTCATAATTAAAATAAAAGGCTTAAGATGATGAAAATGGTATTATTAACTACATATTCTCAAAAAAATATTTACTGCTTTTCTAATTTTGGTGATGGACATCTATTTCATCATGCATAGCTTTTCTAAAGCATACAAAAATAGGTATTTTGCTCATGATCTGATCTTTTTAAAAAGTCATTGATTTATTGATTATAGTCATATATTCATAGTCATATATTGATTTATTTAAAGGCAGAGTGGTAAGAGAAGAGTCTGGGGTCCGGCATGATAGTGTAGCTGGGATCCCATATGGGTGCCAGTGGCCTGGGAAGGCAGTCGAGGACGGCCCAAAACCTTGGACACTACACCTGAGTGGGAGACCTGGAAGAAGTTCTTGGCTCCTGGCTTCAGATCAGCATGGCGCCGGCTGTTGTGGCCACTTGGGGGAGTGAATCATCGGATGGAGGATCTTCCTCTCTGTCTCCTCTCTCTATAACTGACTGTCCAATAAAAAAAAAAAAGAGAGAGTCTGAGAGAAAGAGATCTTTTATCCTCTGGTTCTCTCCCCATTGATTGCACGAGCCAGCACTGGGCCAGGTCAAAGCCAGGAGCCTGGAGCCTCACCTCAGTTTCTCTTAGTGTTGGCAGAGACCCTAGCATTTGCACCATCATTTGTTGCCTTCCTGAGCGCATTAGCAAGAAGCAGGAACAGAAGCGGAGTGGCTGGGACTTAAACCAGCACTTGGATATAAGATGTTGACAATGCAAATGGCAGATTGACTTACCAACACCAGCACCCATTATTGATCATTCTGTATTGTGAATTGAACTCAGCCAACTTATAATCAGTATAGTAATCATAGCTTTTGTTTCCTTTGATTTGTGTCAGCCAGTTATAAGAATTCTACTTGTCTTAACTGATGGAATACTGGAAGCTACCTCGTAAGGTCTGTGCTTTTATTGTTTCTGTTTTGGAAATGATAAAGGAAAGGCACAGAGAGGTTATGTAACTTGCCCGTGGTCACTCAGCTATGTTGAAATTTGAATGCAGACCAGCAGACTCCTACCCATTAGGCAAGATTATCTCTCCTACTCATTAATATGACATACATGATAGTAACACATGACATGACAGGTGCCATTTAATGGACAGAAAAAGAACACGACGACACCCAACAGAAAATTGGGTTTTGAGCAGCAACAAAAGATTAACAACAACAAAACCAGTAACCTGAAAATCATGGTTGTGTCAAAACACTTTCAGATACAGTCATTTCATTACAAATGTCCTCGACAAGAGCTGGGAGGAAGTCAGATTGGTTTCATGAACTTGAATCTTTGTTCAGTCCATTCTACCGGGTCTGGAATCAGACCAAAGGATCCATCTAGGGCCACCTGCTTCCCACATTCAGGGGGCAGCACAGGGCCCCCAAGTGGCTAGGTAGCCTCTTCTGCCAGCCAGTGGGTGAGAAGGTCTCTCCCACCCTGGGTTATGTGACAACTGCCAAGCCAGAGCCAGATTACTGGCGGGTGGGGGGGGGGGAGAGTGAGGAGGAGGGTGTAGTTGAATCTTTCGACCCAGAGCGACGGACTTCTGTCTGAATCCAAGAAAGAAGGCTTCTCCGCGCAGCTATCGGGATCTCTCACAGGTCCTAGCCCTCGCCCGGGCTTTCCTTGGATGCCGACAAGTGCCGGAAGCTCACCACCCACCCAGTCAAGCGTGCCTCTCACAAGGCGCCTCCCACAGGCGGTGGGTGGTGCGGGGGAGCCCGAGGCGCACCGGGACCGTGCTCCCCCAGCCAGTCCCCACTCACCCACCTTCCCAGTCACAGTGGGGCTGTGGCGCACAGCGTCCCTCCCCCAGTCGCCCGCCTCCGTTCCGCAGCAGCCCACCTCTCCACCCTCCTCCTTCTCTAGTCTCCGCAGCCCGGGGGCCCAGAGTGGTTCCAACTTCCCGAGCGCAGCGCCGGGACCGTGGGAGAGAAATCCCGGCGGCGCCTGCACCTGCACGGGCGAGTCCGGCCAACTGGTTTTCACCAAACGTAAAAAGAGGCTCCGAGTCGACCCCTGCAGGGTCCGCGCAGGCTGCGCTTCTCGGAAAGCCGGGCACCGCCGACCCAGGAGTGCCGCCTCTCCCATCCCACTTGCGGTCAAATTGCCCGCCACGGGTACCGGCGCTTCTCCCAGTCCATCTCCCAGCGAGAGTGACAGCAGCGACTTCGCCAGCCGTCCGGAGTTTCCCCAACGCGCGTCCTCGGTGGTCAGTGTGCATTTTTCACTTGAAAGGCTGCATTCCCGCGTCCTCCACCCGACCACAGAAAGGTGTCACGGGGAGGGGGCAGCAACGCGCGGGTTCTCCAGGAAACTAGATAGAAACTGACCCTGAGGGCTCGCACCCGGCTTCAGCCACAGACACACCCTCAAGCCCCTGCCTCTGCCAACAGACTTGGGCTGGGCCCTGGAGGCAGCAACGCGCCCGCACTCGCTCCCGCCGCCGCGGGTAGCCCCCGGTTCCGCCCAACGCGCGGCCCCCCGCCCGGCCTCTGCCACTCGGCAGCCGGAGGCCTCGGGACGAGTCCGGGTCCGGGGAGGGGAGGAAAGGGGAGAGTGTGGAAACAGCGGGGTACTCACGGGCCCGCTGTCCACTCCATCAGCCGGAGGGGCCGCTCCGGCCGGCTCGCCTCCGTTGGCCGTGCGCATGCGTCCCGCGAGTGCCTTCTTTCTTATTACAATGCCCAGTGCTGTCCAGACTGCGCCGGCGACGGCTCTCGGCGCCTCTCCCTTTCCTGCAGCTCGCGGGCTCTGCGTTCGCCCTCTTCTCCCTCCCGCTTCCTCCCCTTGCTCTGCCTCCTCCCCGCCCCCTCACGCCTCCTCCGCGGGCCAGTCAATCCCCAGGCTCGCCTGCCTCCCGAGGCGGCGGTGGCGGGCGCACTCCCGGGCAGCGGGGGCAGGGGGACACCCCCGGGGCCCAGGCCGCAGCCCCCTCCTCCAGTCCCAGATCAGAGGGTGTGGAGAGTGTGGGAGCGGACAATGGGGGCTCCCTTGCAGGGCGCTCGCCCGAGAGGCTTGAGTGTGCGGGGCTGCGTGCTCCGATCTTCTGAATGAAATGAGGCGGAGGAACGAGCGCTTGGGGGCGGCCAGCGGAGGGTAGGCTGGGTCCAGGGAGAGTTGTGCCAGTGCACCGGCAAGCCTCTGTGGGGCAGCCCCCTACCCTTCCCAGGCTGCAGGCGTTCCTTGGCGCTCTGTCCCTCCCTGCACACCCGCGGGCAGCCTCCGCCTCCACTTCCAGCTCTCCTGCTCTGAACCGGGCTCCTGGCTCGGCTTCAGAGAGCCGGAGCCCGGAGGTCGCCACCTGGTGACAGCGTGGGAGGGTGGGATGGAGTGGAGGGAAATCTGAGCCCCCATAAGGATCCCGCTGAGACCTTTAGTTTTCCCCCCTTCTCCCGGGGAGGACGGAGGGACCCCTGCCGCCCAACTCTGAAGGGACAGCGCGGCCAGAGGCAGTGCGCCCGCGCTCTGAGAGTTCAATTGAGGCTGGAGGCTGACCTGACCAAAAAAAAATAACATCACGTCATTTCCTCCCCCGGCGCCTGAGGTGGGGTGGGAGCTCAAGCGCCAGGAGCCGGCGGAGGCGCGCCCGGGGGCTGCGCGGCAGAGGGGGCGGAGATGGAGGCGCGGGGAGCCACGCGTGGGGCCTCTGGGGGGCCACCGCCCCCTTCCGCCTCCAGGGGCCTGGGATGAGGAAATGGCCCAGTTAAAAAGTAGCGTGGCTATCTTCCGGGGTGTCCGGGATACCCTGTGGCACCCTTTCCTCGAGCGTTCCTTGCCCATCCCTACCTTCCCAGCCTCCCCGCTGTGGGTTCCCGAGGAAGCGGGTCTGAGGGTGGCCCCAGAAGCTGGTGCCCACGTGGGGCCGACGCAGGGCGTTGTGGAGACCACGGTACTCACGGGCATGGGCGAACTCTGCCTGGCGCAGACATCCTTCTTCCCGGGCTCGAGGAACCCCCGGGCCAGCCTCAGTGGGTCACCCCCCGGGGGACGGACCGGCATGGCCAGCGCTGCCCCGAGCAGGAGCGGGAGGCGGCCTGGCAGCTCACCCTGCCCCCGAGAGGGGCCAGCGGCCGTCGGGGCGGGAAGCAGGGGAGAGCAGTCTGGGAGCCGCCAGGGAGCCTCCGGAGGGGGTCGCCGGAGAAGGTGAGAGAAGACCCGCACGAGGTCGGAGAGCGGGCTAGAAAGCAGACTGAAAAGCTTCAGGGCAGCGGACGAGCCTGGGAGCTGTGCAGGATCGGACAGGGCAGGGCCGGGGCGGGAGAGAGACAAAAGCAACACATAGTTACTCTCGGTCCTACGTCTGGTTGCAGCCTTTTGAGGCGCTGCTTTGGCGATGCAAGAGCAAGTTGGTTGGGAGCAAAAGGAAAGGCTATACTTCTCTCCTTTTCTTTGCTCCTCCGCCACCCGCCCCACTTGCTCTGGCTCCCTGCTGCTTTAAGTGTGGCCCGCAGACATGCAGAACCTCAGGCCTCTCCTGACGACTGAGTCCAAATCTTTACCTTGGGTCTGCGCAGACATCTCTGGATGAAGTTCTCAACTCAGGTTTTGCAATTCTGGTTCTTCCCCCTTACTCCTCTGGGCCCCATTCTCCAGTCTTTCCCTCCCGGGAGAGCCTGGAGCTCTACTTGCCAGGAGGCACAGAACTGAACTTGGGGCTCAGTTCCATGGGGATAGTTGTTTAAGGAAAGCTTGCATAATGGGTGAGAATGGAAATCCCAGACCCCCTTAAGCTGATGGAGAAAGGGACCGGCCCGCTTGGCTTTGGAGGTGCTGGGTGGAATGGACTCAATGTTGGGCTGTTAGTACATCCCCTTGCCGCACTCCACCTGTGAATACTATTGCACAGAACACAGGTCTCTTTGTCTTCTAATTGCTACTTGGGAAACCTAAGCAATGATTTTTTTCCCCTTGGAAAGGGAGGAAAGGATAACTCTTGCGAACCATTAATCTGGAAGTGAAGAGCTCAGGATTCTACATTCAGCCTTGCCACTAACTTGGCCAACCTGGGGACTCTGTTCTTGGAGTTCAACAATTCCACTTATAAACAGACGAAATTGCACTTTTTGGCCGTGAAAGGCCACTTGCCTCATTCAGGCTCTCGTCTTTGAGACCCTCTCCCCGCCAAGATTTAGTGTGGCTACAAATGGGAACCTAAATTAGCCAATTCAAACACCTCCCTCAAGCAAAACAATTTAATCTGTCTGTGAAAAACAGGAGTGGCCGTTGCCAAGAAAAATGAAGGTGGAGGCGGGAAGCAGCGAATGAAAGTGACAAGGTGGGGGAGGCGGGCGCTGGAGGGGAGCGCGGTGAGGCTGGGCGCGGGTCCCAGGGGCGCGGCAGGCGCTCTCCACGGTCCTGAAGGTGGGTGCGGCCCAGGCGGCCTCGTGGGCCTGGAGCGGTTCCCCCCGCCCCTCAGTTGGAAGGTCTGGTGTGTTTTCCTTTGGCAGTGGAAGCCTTGTGGGAAGCGATTGTGAGAGGGGAGGGAGGAAACCTAGCAACCCATTCTCATTCATGAGGCCCTTTCTGGGAAGCTGCCGAGCGCGTTGGCTGATTTGTCTATCAGCCGTTTGTATGCGCCAAAGAGAGTGGAACTCGGTTTGCATTTCCGAGCAAGTTCACACTGTGGCGCTTCCCCTCATTACTTTTTCTGAGAATTGGGGTCCTATAATTCTCCTATAATTCGTATTCCCCTCGTTCACATGCATCCCTATCCTGCTTCCTGGCACAGTGTTTTTATCTTAAGAGTTGGGGCTGGGAGCCAGGGCGGTTTCTGGAGAACCCCTAGAGGCCGGGAAGCCAGTGACTTGGAAAGCTCTCAGCACCGGCCTTGGTGCCCAACGTGAGTGGCCAAAAGTCCGTCTTGTTTCACCTTGGACGGGGGCAGGTAATATGCGCTTTGGGATGGGGGTTGGGGCAGGGACCAGAAAGAGCTGGTGCGCACCTGCTAGGGACTTTGGGACTGGCCAGGGCTCTGGAGGCCAGGAGCATGACTGTACTCACTCGCGATTTCCTGCTCCACTCACTCGCCAGGACATGGATGAAGCAGAAAACCCTGCAAGTGGGGGAGGGAGGCATCTTTTTACAGAGCACCTCCTACTCCCAGGGGCCCCATGTGGGCCTTTCATAGGTCCCAGAATTTGCCATCCCAGGCCTTATGCGAACATGCGAACTGGTAACCCAACCCTTGTCTGTTCTCCCCTCACCCCAGTTCTTCTCTCAGAGACCCATGCACGCCCCCTCTTCAGGCACGCTTCATTAGGCATTTTGCTTCGCTCCCGTGCCTTAAGACAGAGGTCTTTGTAAGGGAAGTGGTAGAAATGTTCAGGCAGAATAAAAGTTCTAAGTCCAAATCCCTGAAAAACAAAGCTGGGGCTCCTTTGCTCTTCCCTGGCATTCACCATTTGCCATGCTCTGGGCTGCTCTCCTTGCCAGACCTGGCTGGGAGCCTGCTGCTCTGCGATCACTATCAGCTTCCTGACTAGTCCAGGTGTGAGATGGAGGGTGATGGGCCAAAGTGCTGGAACCCAGGGACCTGCTCCTGCCCTCTTGGCCAAGTCAGAGCCATAGAACATCAGGATAGTCACCAAGTCCTAGTTCAGAAAAATGTCCACAGGAAGGCCTTCAGCTGGGTGGTGCTCTCCATGAAGGCAGAGTGCAGGAGGCAGGCTGAGGGTTTCAACATCATTAATCCAGAACCGGAATTAGGATGAAATCCTTTTTCTGAAAGCATTGGTCCTTGGGGGTCCCAGAAGACTAACAGAATCTAAGTCTCTAGAATCACCACAGATCCCACTTCCCAAGTCACTGTAAATATCTGGCCTTTTTTCCAAAGCAAACTGAATAGTTAGCATTCACACCTTAAGTCACTGGTTGCATCTGGGACAGAATTAACCACCTTTTTTTTTTTTAACCAAAAAAATTCTGAGCACTTTCAAATTAAAATCACACTCAAGATGGAATACAAAATTAGATTTACTTCTGTGGAGTGACCTATTTTTCTCCTGAAGTCTACTTATTAAGCTTCATTTTGCTGCAGTTTAACCATAATATGTATTTTTGTTTCATTATGCATTTAGACATCATTCTTTCATTTGGGTGTGTTGACTGTGATTGAAAACAAGGCCATCTTTTCTGCGGTGATGATAAATTACACAATTGGAAGATGGCAATAAATGAGCCAAACAGACTTTCAGACTTACAGGGTATGAATTTGAGGTCAACCTATTTATTAATAACAGGTTTTCTCAATGCTCCTTGGGATCTCCATGTTCCTAGTGGAAGTCCAACTGCAAAAAAAAAAAAAAAAGCTCTCTGAAGCTCATAATTAGTTATGACTTCATCCATTCTTTTATTAACATTTAAAGTGTTTCTATCTGGGGCTCATGTGGAAAGATCATAGGGACATAGTGGAAGGGTACTTCAAAAAGTTTGTGGGAAATTCAAGTTCCATCTGATAGAAAATTCTTTCTCTCTCTCCCTATCTCTCCTGTCTCTTGCCTTCTTTTTTTTGGCCCTTTAAATAAATATGTGAATCTTTTTTAAAAAGCTAAAAGCTGGGCTGGTATTGTGCAGTAGTGAGTAAAGCTACTGCCTGTGATGTCAGCATCCAGTATGGGTGCCTATTCAAGTCTTAACTTCTTCACTTCCAACACAGCGCCCTGTAACTGGCCCGAGTAATGTACTGGGAAGCAACTCAAATATTCAGGCTATGCCACCCACATGGGAGAGACACCAAGGAAGCTAGTGCCCCTGACTCCTGGCCATGGCCTTTTCCAAACCTGGCATTGTGGCCATTTTGGGAGTGAACTAGCCAAACCAATAGATTTCTCTCTCTTTGTAACTGACTCAATTAGAAATAAGAAGTAAAAGCAAGTTCTGTCTAACTTTCCACTTTGTTTCACTCTATGATGTCTTCCCTCGAGCTATGATGAAAACATGAACCCCTGTTAGCTGCCAAGCAGTTGTTGCTGGTACCATGTTCTTAGATCTCCCTGCTTCTAGAATGGTGAGTTAAATAAACCCTAAAATTTCCTGGTATCAAGAATTTTGTAAAAGAAAACAGAGTAAGACTATATCAAAAAATGAACTCTAAGCCTTTTTCTTCTGAAAATTTGACCATCTCAGTTAATGTCACTTTGATTCTTTTTGTTCAGGACCAAAACTTTGAAATTTCCTTAAATCTTTATGTTCTCAAGCCAAATCCGTCTTTTTATATTCACAGCCATCACTCCGTGTTACTGGATGACTTGTTTTCCTCCAGTCCCTGCCTCCAGTTTCCATGCTGTCATCCTGATCCCAGTACTTTAAAATATGGCTTAATTCAGACATAGGACTATTGCCCTCATATTAGGAAGAGGTATGGCAGAAGTAGGGAAGTCATAGTCCAGTATGATTGGTGTCTTAACAAAAAAAGGAAATTTGGATACAGAAATATACACAAAGAGAATGCCATTATACATGAAGATAGAAATTGGGCTGATGCATCTGCCAGTCTTGGAATATCAAAGACGGTTAGCAAACCACAAGTTGCTAACAAGAAGCATGGAGCAGATTCTCCCTCACATGGAATTTAGCCCAAGGATTGCAACACAGAAACCTTGGCTGTGTTTCCGCCTTGCCTGTCCTGTCCTGTGACATCAGCTCTTATCTGACTGTCTAACCTATACTCCTCAGAGGCGCTCAATGCCACAATTTCATAAACCAGTTCCTTAAAATAAATCTCTCCATCTCTCACACACACATACACACATCCCTGTGCATTCTGTTGTTCCTACCTGGGAAACTGACTAATTGACCCCCACTAATACTATTTCTACTTTTCCTTATCCACATTTCCCTCCTTGTCTGGTTTCAATTTCGAAGTTTCAATTGTCTTTCTAAAACATAGGTCAGATTGTGTCATCCTTCTGCTCTAGATTTTTACTGGTTTCTCCTCCCAGAATAAACTCCCAAATCTTTATATTAGCCCTCAAGGCGCTACATGAAGGTGCTACTTGCCCCTAAGATCTCTTTTGTACCCCTGTCCCTATAATATTGCTTTTTTTTCTCCATAGCACTTGTCATGATCTGATATACTGTATCTTCACTTGTTTCTTTGTAAAACGTAATTTCATCAGATCTGGCACCATGCCTCAGCAAGCTACTCCTCCACCCTGTGATGCTGGCATCCCATGTGGGTGCCAGTTCCTGTTTTGACTGCTACACTTCCGATTCAGCTCTCTGCTTGTTGCCTGTAAGAGCAGTGGAGGATGGCCCAAAGCCTTAGGACCCTGCGCCCACATGGGAGACCCGGAGGAGGTTACTAGCATCTAGCTTTGGATCAGCTCAGCTCAGGCTCCTGTGGTGATTTGGACAGTGAACCAGCAGATAGAATATTCCCTCTGTGTGTGTCTCTGTTTTTCTTTGTGGATCTGCCTTTCACATGAAAAATATATTTGTCTCTAAAAACTTCTGTCTTTTTTGCTCATTGTTATCTTGATAGCACTTAGAATAGGGCTTGGTCCTTAATAAAATGCTCAGTAAATATTTATTGTGTAAATGAATTAAAAACAGCTCACCTATTTAGTCATGAAAGGGAATGGTATTCTGGAGTATTTAAAACTGTCTAGTAAACAATTAAAAGATAAATTTACCTTGTGAAAAAAAATCTTGAAAACCATGCATAGAAGCAGTCTTCATGGAAAGTTAGTATTGAGAAAAATCTATGCATGGATCTCAAAACTTTTTGCATCAAAAATAGACTTGCCCTTTTTTTAAAATCACATATTCCATGAACTTTTTGAAAGTATATTCATGGGTCTGGTGCGGTGGCGCAGTGGTTAAGGTCCTCGCCTTGCATGCCCCGGGATCCCATATGGGCAGTGGTTCTAATCCCGGCAGCCCCACTTCCCATCCAGCTCCCTGCCTGTGGCCTGGGAAAGCAGTCGAGGACAGCCCAAGGCTTTGGGACCCTGCACTGTGTGGGAGACCCAGAAGAGGCTCCTGGCTTTGGATCAGCATAGCATCGGCCGTTGGGCTCACCTGGGGAGTGAATCATCAGACGGAAGATCTTTTTCTCTGTCTCTCCTCTCTGTATAGCCGCCTTTCCAATAAAAATAAAACAAAACAAAACAACAACAACAAAAAACTACGTATCAGTTGGAAAAGTCTCTGCTAGAAGTATTTAAAAAAAAAAAAGAAAAGAAGCTATATTCACCACATGTATAGATCTTGGAGATACTATTAGGGCAAGAAGCCAAACAGAAGAAGATAAATGTTACATGAATCCTTCATGTGAGGTACAGGAACATTTGCACAGACAGATAGTAAAATAGGCAAGGATGTAGGTTAAGCTGCTGCTTTCAACACTTACATTCCATAGCAGAGTGCTGGTTTGCATCTGGGCTACTCTGTCAGATTCAGCTTCTTGCTAAGGAATCCTGGGACACAGAAGAAGATGGGCCCACATAGAATACTCAGATGGCGTTCCTGGCTCCTGTCTTTAGGCTGGTCCCGAACTATTGTGGTCATTAGGAGAGTGAACCAGTAGATGAAAGATTCTCACTCTCTTTCTCTATATCTAACATAAATAAAGAACAAAAACAAGAATAAAGTAGAGCACACATTATCTTGAAGAGTAAAAAGGAGGGAGGAATAACAGATTATTTTTAGTGAAAAAACATCTTCTGTTTGGGAAAAATAAGTTGTGAAGATAGTGGTAGTTGCAGAACATTATGAAGGAGTTCATGCCATTAAATTGTGGACTTAAAAAGGTTAAAGCAGTGCATTTTATGGTATTATATTATGCCACAACTTATTAAAAAAAATTAAAACCA